AACCTTTCATTGTGGAGACAGGAAGTACTGAATTAGATGAACAGAAATGCTTGTGCTTTTAACAGTTTTAGCAATTGCCTTTCCCTTTTAATATGTTTATCTCTGTTTTCTTGCAAATGCGGTATCAATGCTCAAGGGGGAAAGGTCAGCATTAAAAGTATTTCCTCCTAACACGGGAGGACGGCAAACGCAATGTTAACCTCAGGAGACTGCGTTTTAGTTTGTCGTTGCTTTGCTTCACTTTGCTGTCTGGTGTCTGTGGCTTGTTGAAGCATACATGGAAGGATTTCACAGATCTCAGTTTGTACCGTGCTCTATTTGCATATTCATGGTTTCATTAAACGATGTTTGGCCCGTTTGTCCAGAAATGACAAGACTGTTGGAAGCCCATGCATAGTGATTTGTGTTAATTCTAAATCTACTGCTGAGCATTCAGTCTCTCCACCAAAGCAGGGGGACTCGTCTGCGTTCTGTGCCTGGATTAGCAATTATGTGCACCAGCTTTGTCTTCTATTCACGTTTGCTTCTTAGACATGTATCACAGCAGACTGAAGTACATTCTGGTTTTGTGGTAAAGGTTTGTCTTTTCAGTACAAAAAAAGGAAGCTAAGGGTGCTTATGTTCTACGTGTAACCTGCAATTCCTTCGACTAGGCCTCTTTCATTTTGCATCACATCCTGCCGAAGCTCAGCTCACACTCTCCTTTTTGCATGCTGCTCTGAAGAAGGAGCTGGCCTTTGCAGCCGAAATTTCTGCACCAACTTTTGTGAGTCTTGTGTAGAGGGCACCAGTCTGTCTGCGAGGACATTCCTGAGTAGTGTTACTTTCACTCCTTCTTATCACCTGTCTGTTTTTTTCCTCCCTCTCAAAGTCTTACATTCAAAGTCTGCAATGGATTTCATGATAATTCTGATAAGATAATGCAACTAATTTGTGGGCTTCCTGGAAGGCAGGCTGAGTAAGCATTTAAGCACTTAACAGAGCCCGCTTTATGATCCGTAGTAATGTAAAGATTGTCTTATAGTATCCAGCTTGATTTCTTCAAATACAGCTTGCTCTCAGGTACTGCAACTGCAACAATAGTGCTTCTTAGCTGTCGATGCATGTTTCTTTTCACTGAGAAATGCACAGAGGTATTGTCCATTGCATGCTGCACCTGGTTGGATTGAGTGCTTTGTTACAGAGGAGGGACTGAGGCAAGAGTTGAGTGTTTGCCAATGGTGTTGTACAGTACGTTAGCGACAGAGTGACAATGTGGTTCTGTGACTCCAGTGTCGACTGGCCCTCACACTCCCCCAACATCACAGTGGTCATCCTGTTACTCAAATGAGCAAAGAGCAAAGTGTTCTAAAAGTTAAGCAGCAGTGAACGCAGCTCAGGGCAAGGCTTGTGTCTTACTATTTTGCAGCCACATTTCAGTATGGAAACTCAGAATGCGGTAAGAAGTGTCGCATGTTCAGAATCTGGTCTGGTGTTATTGGCTTACGTACGGAAGCCCTGATCATTCTGCACCCACATCAGTCATTTCAGTATCTCTTCAGTCTGCTAAGGATACTCTTTCTAAAGTCTGAACTGAATGAAGTGTGGGCGGGTTGGCTTCTCTAATCAAAGTGCGGATTTTTCTGTCCAGCATGTCTGAGCCCCAGACCTTCAGGACTCAAGGATGTTATATTGATTTAACGTAAATCACGCAAAAGAATCAGAATTAAAAAAAAAAGAGAGAAAAGAGTGAGCCAGTCTGGAAATTACAGTCGGCCGGAAGAATTCATTGGAATTGATTTTGTTGGGTTCCTGTTTTCCTGGGAGTGTAAGCGGAGACGTGTAGCGCACTTGGATGTGTGTGTGTGTGGGGGGGGGCTGGAGCTGCAGCAGTCTGCTGAGCTGCGATGAGTCACCCAGGCACATGAGCAGGATGTGAGAGGAGTGCCAAAAGAGCTCACCTGCATCAGCAGCCCCATCCCCGATCCCCGATCCCCGATCCCCGATCCCTGCGCCAGGCAGCCAGGTGCTGAGCCACATCAGGCCACTGCCAGGGATGACTGTGGGCAGAGGGAGTTTGTGTTGGGGGAGAGAGGGGTAACACCGAACCAGAATCTCTCAAAGCCTTTCTGACATTTTCTGACGGATTCCAGGAGCGTCGTCTTCGGAATTAAACCTTAGCCGTCTTGGATTCTGCAGAAAACAGTGTTACTGTTGCAGGTTACTGTCGTCAGTCTAAAAATTGCAGTAGTAAGTCCGCTGCGAATGGGTTTGATGCAGGGTGTAAATGGGAAAACCACAGTTTGTTTCCCCTGTTCTTCTTTTATTGTTTTTTAAACATGCAGTCAGGAGAGCAATTCTTGATCTTCCATTTCCATTTCTGTGCACTTTCTAAATTTGTATGTGGGGGTGAATGACGTAATGTGTTACAAAGGATTAAGAAGTCAATAGAATCCAGTCATTTAGGCTGTTAGTCCTTGTAAAGAGCAGACCTTTCTTGGTTTGTTAAGTGAATAGCATACTTGTGTAATGGAGATGGTCTATATGCAGTGGTCCCCTTTATCAAATATGCATGGACAGTGTAATGCAACATTTATGCCTCTTACTCCTGTAAGCAACAGCATCACAATGGCAGCTGTCTGTTGGCTGTAATGTCTTTTTATTTAGTAGCTTACATTTAGATTTGCACATATCAGGTGCCCCAAAAATGTTTTTTCCCTCTCCACTTATCTGCTAGGATCGTGCACGAATTACATGCAGTGTAACAAGCTGTTACTGCTGTCAGTGACATTACACCCTGCCCTGCCGCAATAAAACGGTGAATCTTGACGTAGTGCTTATGCAGCTGCAACAACACCAAGCACCAAACTGAGCAGCACAAACACATGTGGTAGCATACACGTTGCACACACCTGGGGCACTGAAATGCTGTGGGTTCACGGCGCAGTGCCTGGGAGTGGGAGTGGCAGAGCTCGTTTATTCTGAGGGGCTCCGTGATGATTATGAGCAGCATGCTGGCTGCAGGTGACGTGGGCTCTCGTCTGCACCTGGCCCTGAGCTGTCAGCTCTGGATCCCCGGTGCGGGCAGAAGCTGCCCAGATTGTGAATGTTGCTAACGCTGCGGTTTGTGGTCGACCATGAGGGACTTTCGGTTATAATCAGCCGCCTCCCTCCTACTCCACCAACACACGGGCACTCAAAACAGGATGAGTGCTTGACACCTCTTCCTGAAAAGGAAAGAAATCTTCCAGAGTGTAAAAATAAAGATCAGCCGAGAACTTCCCACGGATATTTCTGTAGGTTTTTTTTTTTAAAGGAAATGCAGTTTCCTCTTTTCCTCCCTCGATAGCCTGACTTCTGCTTCTGGCTGTGCTGCCCCCGGCCCCCCCCCCCCCACCCCCCGTTAGCCGTGTGAGTTACAGAATAGAAATCGAGCCGATGGTGCTGAAGAGAGACCTCGATGACTTCCTGAAAGCAGGCGGCCCGTAGTGGGCTAAGCAGCCTTGACCTGAGATCGTTGCGCAGTCGGACGAGATAAGGTACAAGCAAGGCAAGGCCAAGCAAAGAATGAACAGCAGGCCTAGATTGAATTCCGCTAGCTGTGACTTCCCTGCCTTGCAGGGCCTGACACAGACGCTCAAGTGGCTGGCTGGCATTTATGTCGAGGAGCTGTGGAAGTATTCTGGGAGAACTGCGCCTTTACATTTAATGCATGTTACTTGTAAAGCTTGTGGGAGGGGACAGGTACTTTAGGGTTCATATTTCTGATTTTAACCGAAGTAAGAAATTCGGAAAATGGACTTTAAGCTCACTGATCTGGAATCTGATGTCTTTCGCAATATCGATTATGACAGCCCATGTCGCGAACCAGCTAGTGAGGCTGTTCGTTCCTCATCTGTGTACTAAATGACGGGTTGATTTCTGCTGCTCGGCTCTGCAGTCCTCCAGTGTCACTCAGAATTATCCTTGAAGCATGTCGGGCGCTGCTGTTTGGTCAGATATTTCATTTGACTAATGCGCTTTCCTGTGATCAGTTTGGAAGGAGAGATTGAGAGACTTGGCTTTTTCAGGGTAACACAGTCCAGCCACTTTGAAATAAGCAGGCTTGTCATGCATGTGATATACAAAAGAAACTCAGAGCATGACTGCACCAAATTCCCGATTGGGAATATGGAAATCACATTGATGGCAAGCATTTTGTGTAGCAAGTACATTAACATCTTATTTAATAGATATGATAGTTAAATCTATCATGTTGATTAACTTTGCTGTGACAGCCACAGGCTAGGAGAGTGTACAGCTGCCACAAGAAGAAGCACAAGACGCATGACTGCGATGCTTGTGTGCGGCCAGTTGGGATCGTGTCCCATCCCTCTCGTGGAGCCTGGTCACTGCCCTCCAAGCCCTAGATCCCACGTCATCCCAGCTCATCCCAGAGACGTAAAACAGCACTTAATCCTGGTGAGCTGGGCCTCCACAGCATAACTGTCGCATTCTCATCTCACAAAAAAGCCGTTGTTCCACAGGCAGGATGAGGATGTGTGGTGTCCTTCGGGGATGCTGTCCCACTGGGATGGGCCCACCGGAGGGGCAGCCAGGGAGGTCCCAGGACTTGATCAGTGTGGCGCCGTGCAGTCAGGCTGCCATTGACCACTGCAGGGAGAGATCTGTAGACACTAGACACTCCTGGTATCTTGTTCCACACTTCCGCCACCCTTTGTGTAGTCACATCCGCATGGGGTAGTTCTGCCTTGAGGAGTGTGCTAGACTCGACTCGGCAGTTATCCACGTAGCCGGTATTGGGAAAAGGTCATTTCCAAAGGCTTGGAATGTGTTCCCACCCGTGCTGAGCGTTATTGTCTGTTTTTGTTTTATTCCTCTCGTGCGTTTCTTTCCTTTCAGCACTAAAGAGGTTAAGACACCACAGCTGGTGTGACTTCTAAAGCGTGTCCACAGGAGAAAAGGGCCCGCGGTCCTCAGCCAGCACAGCTCACCGTCCCTTCTCCTTGTCCTTGTTTCAGTACGGGGAGGAAGAGGTCTATTCTGACCGCCTGGACGCGGACTTTCCCGACATTGACCTCTCCCAGCTGGACGCCAGCGACTTCGACTCGGTCAACTGCCTCAGTGAGTTACGATGGTGCAACGACCAGTCAGACGCCTCCCCAGCCTCCAGCTGCTACAGCTCGGGGGACCCCGAGCTCTTTGAGGTAAGCTTGCCACGGGGGAGGCCCCCCCAGTCCGGGAAATCAGCCAGCGAGTTCCTGGGACGCATCTCTCTAGTAAAACGCAGGTGTACTGTAGCTGCAAGAGTAATGTCTGTCAATTACTCCCCCTGTTGTACGGAGAGCTGAAAGCATCAGTACATCAGAGGAAAGATGACAAAAGCACTTGACGCTAACGAGCCAGTTAAGCAGGATAATTATTTTCAAGGGTGTGGCTTTGATGAAAGGGACAGAAGGGGATTTTGGGCTTTCTGTCTGTGGGTGCTTGAAACTCTCCAGTGGGAGAAAGGTGTTCTATTAACAGACATTAGTGCACCACAGTGGCACTGCTGTTGTTGCTGCAGTTAGTTAGTTGCTGCAGTAAGAATGCTTTGCCTGTCTTTTTTATGGATCATTCATTTACCGAAGACTTTTCAGCGGGAATGGGGAGTTGCCTTCAGCTGATGCAGCTAGGAGCCGTTGCACGAGCTCCAGCCCATGTATTGGTTTAAGAAACGCGCAGCGCCACGATCAGTGCTTCAGTGCAGGATTTGTCTTTTTGCGTGTGGCTTTTCATTCACTGATGTCAGCCTCTAGTTTTCAACTTTTCATTATATTATGGCCATAGATGTGTGGGGTTTGAATAAGGGATGTTCCCTGATGTATTCATTATGTTCTGGCTTAAGAGCTGTTCAGCTCAGGGCCCAGTGCAATTAGCCTTTAGCAGGGCAAAACAGTTTAAGGAAGGCTCTGTTCCTTTTATGGTAGCCAGTTAATGTTATCTGCTGAATTTTAAAAGCACTGACTGGGATAAAAAATAAAAAAAATAAAAGGAGTTTTTTGCTCACCTTTTTACCTGTCTTTTTAGACTGAAAGCTTACTTTTTTGGTGAAGTGATGTCTGCTACGTACCGTGGAAAACAGCACTTTCTAATCCAGGCACTTGGGATCTTATTGTTTCCTGGGATTTTTTCCGGCTAAACCTGATCATTAATTAAAGCAATTCTTATTGAATTAAAAATTATTAGCTAAGCTAGGCCCTTTTTCAGTTCCTAAAAGTTGCATATTTCATGTTGTACATGCATCTTTAATTCTTAAAACATTTACATGTGCAGTTGGTTGCAGTGTCTCGTGTTTCAGGTAAATTTGCGAGTCTAGCAAAAGTTTGGTAAATGAGCACGCAGAAACATAGAGCTGTAATTGAATGTAATTGTCTCATTTACACTTGAACTGGATGTTTTCCTTTCCTGTGTGAGATGTAACGAAGTTCAATGCACAGGAGGAAAACATCTGCACCACACTGAGGTTTGTTTTGCTTGCTGGCATTTAAATTAAGAATCGAATCAACTTGAAATCCAGTAAAAGGCAGGGAGATAAGAAAACGAAACTAGATCTTGACGTTTTAGAACAGCCAGGCTTACGCTCAGTGGAAGTAGTAGTGCTTTTGCCTATAACAGAGTGCACCTGATGCACGTTAAGCTCCAGTGTCTAAACACCAGCTCCAGTTTGTGTTTTGCCGGAATGTGTTTAGCGGTGGATAATATGGAGCTGCGGTGAATGGTTAGGTGTTAAAAGAGCCTGACGTTATGGATTTTTGTTTGCTGTGCTGCTAGACTTGGGATATGGGGAGTGACTATAATCCAGGGCAGTATTTTATTTAAGCATTGTTCCACGAGCGCTGAATGAGCACCTCACTATGAGAGTGCACGATGCTGAAAGCGAATCTGAAAAAGAGATGAACTGAAAAGAGAAAGTGCTCGTGTGTTACTAGCTCCCATGGCACCATGCGGGACACTGAATTGTTGTGTTGCAGGGGACCAAACCCTATTTGAAAGAACCTCGATACCCACGATTGCGGGCCGCTGCTGGACGCGGAGGTGTCTGACTCGCGTGTTCTCTGCTGTCCCCCGCAGATAGAAGACGAAAATGCGGCGCTGCTGGCTGCTCTCACAGACAGCCTTGACGGGATGGTGGACGAGGTGGGGGGGCTGTCTGGGTTCCCCTCGCTGGGGGAGGGGGGAGAGGGGGAGGAGGACCTCCCCTTGGAAAGTGACCCCTTCCCAGCCCCCCCTAGCCCAGAGACAGAAGACCCGTCTCTAGTAAGAACCCTTCCTTCCTGTTTAAGGTGGATTTGGATGGGCCTCTGACTACCCCACAGCATGGGTATGATAGGCAACAAAGGTCTGAATTTTTTCTCATTTTGGGTTTTCCCATTCTTGTAGATATCACTCTAACAGAGCCCTTTTTTTGCAGGCTTGTTCCCCGGATCACCCTTTCCCTTTCCCCCTGTAGCGGAAAGGCCTGCCAGTGGCCTCCTGCACTGTGAGCGTCTGTCTCTCTCTCTCTCTCTTTTTCCCTCCTTGTCTGTCTCGGCGAGTAACGCTCTTCCCTCCTCAGCCTCTCTCTGCTGGGGTCCGCGAGCTGCTCTGGCCAGTGTCCCACCCCTGGGCTCCCTGCTCCCACCTCTGCCCCAGTCCCCTGGTTCCCTCAGCAAACAGGCCTTCTTCAGAGCCTCTGTTTTCCACTCACCTGCTCATCGCGGTTCTCCAGGGGCAGATCTGTCATTATGAGTCCCGCAGCCCCACACCGTGTTTATTCGCACCTAATTCTCTTAATTGTCATGGCAGCAGCGCTTCAGATGGAAATTTAGTCCTGCTGTGAAGCAGTGGGGGGGTGGGGGGTGGTGATGAAACAGATCTGGGTGGGGAGTGAGACGGCCCTCAGACACGAACAGTAGAGCGCCAAGCGTGGTCAAGTGTGTCCTGTCCCAATGGGACACTGGCCTCCAAGCTCTGCTTCCCAGCCTCATTTATGCGCCTTCTTTTACAGATCTGTGTTTGATTAGTTCGTCTGGCAGTGTGTGTAGAGGGTGACTAACACCATTCAGCCCAGTGTGTGTTACTGTTAATTGCTTCACCAGCTCGTTACCTTCTGTCCTCCACACCCAGAGAAAAATCACGGAACCACTTTTATCAAGTACTATCGCTTAGTGTTGATATAGGAGAATCAAGATTTACTTTACACAAAAGGTTTGGTTAGATTTCAGGCTCTGATGTTATTAAGGAGGCTGATCATATCCTGGGTTAGTAACTATTACAAACACAGCTTTCCTTCCCGTTTTGCATGTGAAAGCAGAGCTGTTTTTGTTATATTATTGGCTGAAATAACTGATTATTGGAGCTCTAGGTATAAGGATAGCTTGTAACTTTTCACTATAGGATGATGAAAGGTTCCTACACTATACAGGTATACTGCCTGGTGCTCTGATATGTGCCAGTGTGTCATACCATAGTATATCAGCCCCTTTGGACCTCCAGCTAGACGAGAAGACTGCTCTCATTAGATTCTGTTCAGTGCAATGCCAATTGCACATTTTAAATGAGAAGCACAGATGCAGGAATCCAGCTCTGTATCCCAGAGCTTGGGCAGTTATTTCATGAACTGCGCACACATTACTGTTTGACACAATTCTTCATGTGTTTTAGTTCACACTTCCAGTTTTATTTTTGCACTCCTCAGGCAGGTTTAAATGGAATCAGACCTGGTTTGGATACCTCATTAATGTGTTTTTTTTGTGTGCAATTATTAGAAAAATCAATTTGCCAGTTGGTAAAGCACCTTCAGATTGGCTTCTGGGAAATATCAGACCATGTCAGAAAAAAACCTTCCAGAAATTCTGACTTATTCAATCAGTCAGTCCTAGAAAATGACTAGTCCTGACTTTTCTGAAACACCCTCCAAACTCTGCTGAACAGTAGCTGACAGAAAAGAAAAACGGATTCAGTTCATTTCACTTGAAGGCTGTGCAGCTTATTGATGAATGGCGATGGACAAAAAAGAAAAAAAAAGTCACATTTCATGAATAGCTGATGCAGAGCACACCTAGGGAATCACGCTGTCAATATGAGGCAGCAGTTGTGTGCTCTCCTGTGTTTTTCCACTTGCCATGTCTTGCCTTTTTTGTTGCCATTCAGACCAGACTTTAATTTGATTTATTTCGAAAGGTTCCTGATGTTTTCTTCTGCTGTCACATGAGCAGTGACCTGTTTTTAATCCAGCCATGAGCACTGGATTTAATGCATTGCACGTCAGAGGTAGCACTGTGCATTTAGGAGAAGCAGTGGCACTTTGGTCATGTACAGTACCATTCATTCAAAGGGTCTAATAAGTGTGTGGCACACACAGTATTTTGCAGTGTTTTTTCTTGTCTTTTGACTCTAAAACCAGCCTGTGGCGACAGGAGTTCAAAATTCTAGGTACCTTAGCAATTTTCCTTTCCTCAAATGCAGTAAGTAATTGCATAATGTAGTTTTGGCCATTTGTAAATCATTTTTGGGTGTTGCATCACTGGCGTTTGCTGTGGTTAAGAAGTGACCTCGCCGTTTTCTCAATTCGAGATTTTACTCAATCTCGGCATTTTCTCATTGTATGTGGCAGTTGTGCAAGTATTTGGGACCGCTTGCACACAGAAGCTCCAACAGGATCTCACATGTGACAAACTCCTGCTCCACTCCAGCGTTTCTGGAGTGTTTGAATGATTAAATGGAGTTTTTAATGGAGGTTAGGGAAGATCTCTTTCAGCTCTGCTGCTTTTTATATCAGCTCTGCCCCTTGTTAACTCCTCACTCTGCTGGGGGTCCTGACTTCCTGTCCTCTGGCCAGGTGGTTAAGCCCCAGCAAAGTGGGTTAAGGCAAAGCTGCTTATGTCTAACTTCTCGATACACATTCCCAAGCGCATTTTCTTGTGGGGTGTTATGCCCTCGTGAAATCTGTTTGTTACCAGATCACTTTCTGGGGAACTTTGAGTTCATTAGCATCTTCCGGCTCAACCAGCGGAGGACGGCTCGTTCGGAGACCACGGCGTGTCTGAGCCGCTTGTGCCCGGGGCTCGCGCTGCAGGGCGGGCTGGGAAGAGGGTCTCTCTGCGGACACTGCCTCTGGGCTCTCAGAGACAGGAGCTGGCTGGGTGATGCCGGAGGATCGCGGGGTCAGAGGCGCTCAGTCCTAGAGTGGCTGGAGGCCCTGCGTTCACTGGGTAGATGATCAAAAAAGAATTGGCGAACCTGAACTGAGCACCAACATTCCTCCGTTATGTTTGGTGTGCCGCATACTTTCCAGTGAGCCCCTTTGACTGAATGGTACATTACATGACCACAATGCCACTGCTTTTCCGAAGTCCCTCTGATGTGCAGTGAATTAAGTCCAGGGCTCATGGCTGGATTAAACACAGGACAGCGGAGGAAAACATCAGGAAGCTTTCGCGATTTCAAGGTCATCATTGAATTCACTTTATTTAGTCAGGTTCGGAGGGAGAAATCAGTCAGCATTAGGGTGACCATACTTTCCAGTTTTTCCCGGGTTTCCTTTTTGGTCCTTATAAATCTCTGTGTAGGAAGAATTATTTTAAAATAAGACGGCCGTGATTTTTCCCTTATTCTCCCCCCCGCCACCCCAATGTTTGCTATGCGAAACGGCTGCTGGGATTAGGAGAGTGGCGATCATTCGTGGGGGAGACTGTGTGCTGATTGTAGTCTTAGACCCGGCTTGTTCACCCCCCTGTTCGGTTTTCATTCTTAACTTTGTCTGATTTTTCCAAAGCACCCACCTCAGGCTCAGCCACGGTGCGAATTTCAGGGAGAGGACTTGTAGAAAGAGGTGCAGTAAAATTGGAATAATTCAAGTAAATTCAAGGATTTTTGAGGCCATATAACTGTTTGTTGTTTTGCAGATGCTAATATAGAAATGTGTACAGTATATGTAACACATTATATAGCATTAATACACAGCACCTTTTTAATCGATATTGGTACAAATCCCGTCTCCCCCCTCGTGACGGAGAGAATATTCAGACCTGGTAGCCCCAGTCAGTACAAGGGAGGGCAACAGAGATTCAATCTGATACCCGCATCTTTTGAAAGAGTCCAGTGTGCTACACTGTGGAACTGTCAGCTTTCTGCAGGAGGCAAACAAGTTACAACGTGTCAGACGCTAGATTAAAAGACCTCTGTTTTCATTACTGTAACTGCTGTGCTAAAAGACAAGCATCACAAAGTGAAACTGCTGCTTCCAGCTTCCAGTGCTAAAATGCCTTTGCTAGCACCCTGGTCTGCAAACAGCTACATCCCGAAGCCAATGAACACAATCAGAGCAAGTCAAACCCACCTACTGGCTCTTAGGTATCATGCGATTACAGTTAAAATAAATAATATAATGGGCTTAAGAATTATTGGCATTCTTGATAAATAAAAAAAATAGTATTACTCAATTGAAAATATTAGTTTTGAAATAATTGAGAACACATGATCTTGTTTTCCCATTTTGGGGGCATAAAATATAGCTGTCGTTGCTGTTTTTCTTTATCAACGGTGCCAATAATGATTGAGCCCACAGTATATACATTAAAGAATAATAATCCGTGTTATTATATATCGATAATAAATTATTGAAGAATACATAATAGCATTTATTACATGGGTACATGGGTGGGAGTGGAGCCATATCACTCCACTCCGCACCAGCAGCCCCACTGCACCGCAGATCAGGGGGAGGACTGAGAAACTGCTTCCCCGGCTGAAATATCGGGGAACTGCTGTGGAGGCCAGATTATTCATTAGCCAGAACACCAAGATTTAATACCCCCCGATCTTACAAAGACAGCCATTTTTAATAACCAAGCAGTCAGAACATCTAAAAGAAGGATACAGTTGGACAGTGTTCCCTGTCACTGTATCAATCCATGCTACTGGAGCACTGGATTCGAAATTTGGGTGCTTAGGAAAGATCACTGCCCTACAGGGCCAACAGCACCAAATTATTTTTTATTAAACTGAATTAACTTTTATTGCCCCCAGGGGCCTCTTTATCCCTTTATTTTTAATTGGTCTTGCACATCAAGAGATCATAAGCTTCTAACATACACAATAATAATACAATTCAACAATGGTACAATACTATAATACAAAACAACATCACCCGATCAGAACTCTTCCAGCATCATAAGACTAAAAAAACAGGCAATTAGTTTGGAAAGAGACTAAAAGCAACATCAATGATAATAAGATCCCTGTCTGCAAACATTTTTTTCAATTATGGAGAACAGTTGTTGAGAAAGAATCCGAGAGCTGTCAAAAAAATAAGAACAGTATGTTACGTTTAGAAGGGCCCTCTCCATTGGGCTAAATCATTTAAAAAGTTCGGCAAAAATAGGGTTAAGGGAACATTTAATTGGTCATCTCTTCAGTGACTCTGAATGAGCTTAATGGAAAGAAATGTAATGTTTTGTTTGTTTTTTTTTAAAACTCTGAAATGACATCCAGGAGCATAAAGGAAAAAAAACTCAGTACTTTCAGAGTGCCAGTGTGTCTGGGTGTTTGACGAATGCCACTGACATTAGCATCATAATAACAGTTAGTCCCAGGGCTCATTTACTGGTGGCGCGCAGCAGTGCAGGGCCGAAGCAGCTCAAACTCAGCTCACAGTGTTCATGCATACAGACACACAGGCGGGGAGAGGAAGCAGGCAGGGTCAGAAATGCTGTATAGCCTCTGTAACCTCACAGTGCTCCTACACCCACTTATAACTGAAGACTAATGAAGGAAAGAGATCACTGTAAGTGACTAATTTTGTTTCCTCTTTTGTTAGTGCAGTACCTTTTTTTACCGTGCCCTACCACCCCATCACACACAAAAATCATGCTCTTTGCCTTTCTCTTTGCTGTCTCAGACAAGGGATATTTGACACTGGCTCGTGGCTCCACCTTGAGTCCTTTTTCTGCATCAGGGTTTCTCTCCCACTGCTAAAAGCAGGCGACAAGACTGTTCTGTTGAGAACAAGGGGTGTATTGAGTAGAGAAACCCAGGAAACAGCAGACTGAAACACGGCCTTTCATCTGGGGGAGGCTGGACTCTGCCAAACCAGTTTGTACACTGAGCTGGAAACTAGAACACCCTTCAGATTTTATTCAGGCGATATTGAGAGGCATCATTGACCAGATTGCCAAATTGGCACATGTATGAAATTTTTGTGTTTTCTTTTTTCCTTTCCTCCTCTTTATTTTCACTGTTCATTGTGATCGCCGAAAAAATCTTAGTGCTGTTAAGCAATTTGCCGGGTTGGAATGTGTCAACAGAATCACATAAGCAGATCTGATTTAGCTGTGTCTGCACCAGGCTGGAGACAGCACTAACCCTTTCACATAACTGTTTAATCTGCGCAGGGAGACATTCAGCTGTGAACAGAAGGAGACAGGGAGCTGTAAAGAAATGCCTTTTCATAATAATCTGTATCATGTCACCTCTGCTGTCTGGAATCCTGTGATAGGGGAACCATTTGTTTCTGATGTTACAGTCTTCTATATGATATTGCAGTTTTTATATCATTTATAATAATATTTAATCTAAGGAGACTTTTAGAGATGGTGTAAATGGGAATCTTAAAAATTGAAAACAAGTGTTTTAAAAAGTAAAAAAATCTTCTGTCTGCAGCAGTGAAGGTTTAATGATCTGTCCTCTAATTCCTAATTTCAAGACAAAGCAGAAGCCATGTTGTCCAGGAATCAGTAGTTTTTTCACTTGCTCTTTCAAAACCAGGCTCTTTGAAGTTGATTTTCAGGTTCTTGATATAGAAAATAAAATGTTCTGGTAAATAGTTGGCTTTATAAGACCTCATCTTTAAAAAAAAAAAAACATCTTGGCTGTAGCTGCTTTTAAAGTGATCTTGTAGAGCGTAGCAGTGAGAGTGACGACTTCCAGCGGAACGTTAACCTTCGAAGAGCCTGGTGTTCGGAGGAGTGGGTCGCAGTGTTACTTGTGTCCGGGATGTCGTATGTGGAGGGAGGGGTGGCTGGCTGGATAGGTGTGGGTTATTTTGATGTTGTGCTTCGTGTGGCTGGAGAGCCCTATGTGTGAATTACAGTTGTTCCCCCAACTTCTCCACACAGCTAAAGAAGCTCCTGCTCTGCCCCACCAACGTGCCTGTCAGCTATGAAATGCACAATCAAGGCACCACACATCGCCATAGCAATGGACACCCCAACCTCAAGCCCCAGAGGCCTTCAGTAAAGGTAATGAAAACGCCTCTTCGACTTTGTGGGGACCAGAGCTGTAACATACCTCCTGAAAGCGAGCGCTGGAGTGTTACGGGTAGCCGGTGATCCTAGCCCTGCCCGTGGCCAGCACAATGTGATGAGTAGCAGTCCTGAGGAGGAAGAGTAAAGCATCATCATCCTCCTCACCATGCTCACAGGCGCACGGCTTGTCTTCTTCTGTGCTTCCCCCCAGCCTGCTAGCGCTCAGGAGCGGAAGCCCAGACTCCCGCGTCCGCAGGGCCGCACGTGCACCGAGCTGCACCGCCACTTGACCACCGCCCGGGAGGCCGAGGACACCGGGGCGGAGAGCGAGTCGGAGGAAGAGGAGGAGGGGGACTCTTCCAGCGAGGGCGAGGGCGAGGCCCCGGCCGCGCCCCCTTCCCCGCAGTTCAGCTCCGAGGAGGAGCTGCGCTCGGTGGTGGAGCTCGTCAAGTACATGCACACCTACTGCATCCCCTCGCGCAAGCAGCTCGGCGCGGACAGGAGGGAGCGCGAGGGCCCGGGCCCCGCCCGGAAGCTCAGGCCCGAGGGCCCGGCGGGGAGGCCGCAGCCCCCGCCGCCGTGCCCCAGGGCCGCCCCCCCCCGCTCCGTCTTCGCCCGCAGGAGGGAGGGGAAGGGGCACTCGCTGCTCCAGGAGCTCCTGGAGTCGGCCCGCCCCTACGACGTGAGCAAGCCTTACCGACTCCACGGCCCCCCCTACTCCCACGGCAGGGGAGCGGCGCCTCCGGACACGCCGCCCGGGCCCGCCCACGTCCACGCCGAGCCCAGAGACTCGAGAGGCAGGGACCAGGCCCTGGCCTCTCCCCCGGCGCAGCCCGGAGCCGCCAGGCCAGCGAAGAAAACCCAAGAGGCTTCCTTCTCAGTGCGGCGGTCCAGGAGGCTCGCCTCCTTTCCCGGACGCTTCGCCAAGAGGCCCTGGGCAGCGGGGGGCCGGGGGAGGGCCGAGACGGGCCCTGCCGCCCGCCCCGCGGAGGAAGCTTCCGGCGGGGGCGCTTCCTGTGAGGCGGGCCGGACGGGCCAGCGGCGGACGGCCGCGCCCAGCTCGCCGTGTGGCCAGAGCGGTAAGCATGAAGGCGCTCCTGGCTGTGAGAAAAGCAGAATCTGTGATTGGCGTCCCTGTCAGCCATGTGTCTGTGGTATGCACACCTATGTGGGAGAAACAATCGACACGTACACATCGATTCCTCTTTTATTACGTATTTGTTCTTGATTGCTGTTCTGCCACCTATAAAACAATAGTAATGTCCAGTTGGATCTATGTGTGCTTTTGTCATTCCATCCCAGAACACTTCATATATAGGAAGCTGCCCACATCACCACCTCTCTGGAGTGCAGCCCCCACCTGGTTGACACTCAGCAGCCCCAGTACGCAGCAGCTGTAGTTAGAGAGGTTTTGAAATTGTGTCACCAATTGAATAATAGCTTTAGGACCCCCTAGAGAGGAATTTCGCCAGGACACGTGGTCCAGAAGGATGAGCACCACTTACTGGTCCTCCATCAACACTTACAGCTGCATCCTAGTTTCCTCATTGGTCTTCCATCCCAGTACTGAGCAGGCCCCGAGTTTCATGACAGGAAGTATTGAAGATAAATAATTTGTCTGTGTGTCTCATCAGGAAAAGTTAATGCTTTATTGAGTTCTATAATAATGTAAAGATTTTTCATTATCATCCCCATTTCTTGAAAGCACAAATCAAAGATCTGATGCGCTTGAGTCAGAGGGTGAATCCACAGAGGGTGTACAATCTCCCTTGGCTACAGTATATCCAAATTCTACCTTCCAATCTATTATCTTGAATTTTCATCAATATCAAGACATAGCCATAATAACAGAGAGAAGGTGAGATTTAACCTACACTCTCTCTCTTCTGGAAATTTTGTTAAACGTGGATGTTATTAAATGAACTGCAACTAATGTTTTTATTTTTCTGATTCCAGAGAAGCGTGCCTGTCTGTGTCTGCCGCTGACTCCTAAATCCACAGGGTGGGTGTCACAGGCACTAAATCATTTTATGTTTTTGGATGACATCCATAAGCTAATAAAACTGTCTATAATGAAGATTTCTAGATTCCCTCCACCCCCATGATTACTGTTATAAAGCACAAAAGGTTGTGGCTGCTGTAGAGACAAAATGTTCTTTAAAAATGGGCAAGGGATTTCAGAACTACCCAGTGATGCAGGAAGAGACTTGCCCGAAGGCACACAGTGGGCAGACAGCTCTCCTAATTCAATTACAGTTTAACGCGCTGTTTCTCCACGTCTGCACACAGGAAGTCTAAAGTGTGCAGTCTGCTGGATTTCTTTAAATGTTTTTAATTTTACCATTCTCTTTTCATTAAACTTGGGTTCTGGAAATTGAATTGCTCGAGAAGAAATGGCCTTCAGAGAATGGTTGTCAGCTATTACCTGTGAGAAGGTCAAGTAATGTAAAACAGCATAATCTGCCAACGAAGGTCCATAATTCTAAACGTCTTTTCTGAATTGTTCTATTACCCACTGCAAAGACAGAGAATCCAGCATACAGTAGCTGTACTCCCTTTAAATTGTTGTTTTTTTGCGATGATGGGATCCCAACCTTTTTTCAATTTGTAATTGACTGGTTTTTACTTGTCTTTATCAATGCAGAGATACTGTATACTGATAACTCCACCCTTTTCTTTCTTTGTATTCAGGGAAACACAATACGCTAACAAGCCCTTCGAACAGACACTAAGTGTGGAGCTGTGCGGCACAGCAGGTAATTTTTGCCAAGTTTTCCATTTTCCTTTCCTTCTGCTTTAAAACCTTGCTTTGCAGTTTGGTGCCTTTTACTATCTCATTGAGATAGGATTGATATATATTTAACAGTGCTGGGGTATCTTCTCACAGAGTGGGTTTACAGACTTAAAGAAACCACTGCAAAAGGATAAACTAACTCCTACTGTCGCAAAACAAATGCCCGAAGTAAAAGACCCCCAGGAAAACTCAGGTTTTTCAACTTTTATTTTGTGTGCCTCTTTTTGGGGAAAAAAGGGCTATAATTGGAAAGCGATGGAGATTATTTTGTGACTAAGCCTCAAAGTATTTCTGTTAGTATTTCTTCTTCTAAGACATTATTAAAACATGTAGTCACAAGATGTGTCTATTATCCTTTATTTAGTTTGCTGTATTTACAGCTGATGTTAAGAAGATTTTTTACCTTATAAGGCAGGTCAGTTAAAAACTGACTCTCAAACTGATGCCTTTGAAACTGACTCTCTTAAGTCTCCCAGTGACCCCAGTGTAAATGATCTGGGAAGCACAGTCTCCCAGTGATCCCAGTCTAAATGATCTGGGAAGCACAGTCTCCCAGTGACCCCAGTTTAAATGACCCAGGAAGCGCAGTCTCCCAGTGACCCCAGTCTGAATGACCCAGGAAGCGCAGTCTCCCAGTGACCCCA